CATGTCACATCTGTGTGTTGTCTCTGTGTTAATCCTCAGAGGACACTCCCATCCAGGCCACTCGCCCAGCACCCTGGTGAACAAAGGGATCCATGCACACCACTCAAGCCATTTGTCATAAGCTATATAAAAAACATACTGAAACATGTATAGCTAATTTTGTAAATGATTGATTTGCTAAATGCTTTTCTTGAATAAAATTTTATTTTTATTGTATTGTTATTGTTTTTGTGTTATTGTTATTCTACACACACACACACGCACCCACACGCACACACACGCACCCACGCACACACGCACCCCCCCCACACACACACACACACCACGCACACACACACACGCACACGCACACACACACAAACACACAACACACACACACACACACACACACACACACACACACACACACACACACACACACACACACACACACACACACACACACACACACACACACACACACACACACACACACACACACACACACACACACACACACACACACAGCATTAACTGACTTATTAGCCTTATTAATTCTTTGTGAAGTCCTAGAGGTCCAGTCCTCCTTGATAACAGTCGCCTTAAAACCAATCAATACATCCTCTCATCAAATGAACAGATAACCTGCAATAGAAAGGTGTCTCTAAGGAATCTGTCAAAGCTCCTTGTCTCTGTTACAGAGATGGATCTTATCAGTCAGTGTTTGTCCGTCACGTCCTATAAGGAGACTGTTAGTCAATGTGACATAGAGTGGGTGGAAGCAATGCAACACTAATATGGACATCATAGCACATTCATATTATGGAAAAATATGTATCAAAAAGACATAGAAATTTGTACTATCTATAGTGACAAAAAATAAATAAATACATCTTCTAAATTTCATTATATCATGCATTCACATTCACATTTAGTAAACCATTATGTTTGTAGAACCCTATAATTACACATTTCTGTTGCCACTGGTTACAAATTGTAATTATTGATTGACATTCTTTTGATAGCTCAGCTGTGACCTTTAGTAAATTGGTGACCATCCCTTTATCTTAACCTTACAGCAGCTGTCCATGTGTACATGTGTGTGTAGGCTAATTTGGGCCACTAGCATTATGAAAGGTTGAAACATATTTGTGAATATGCTATGCTAGTTGTATGACAATTAGAGAAAAGGTAGAGCTTCTGCAGAATCATTACAATAGTGCATTATATTCTAAATGTGCAGTAATGACCCCTCACACTGTCATGCAGCCTTATTAGTTTTGAGTGTACCTTGCATTCTTCATGGTTATACAGAAACAGTGTTGTGTGCTATGACAAACCTGCTGGGGGTCTGAAGTCTACTTAAAAGCCAGTTAGATCTCTTCTGACAGGGAATGCGTGGGCGGCAGCATAACTAAAAGAGAAGAGAAGTGACTAAAAATGACAGATTTAAATGACATCATTGAGATAATAGACTGTTCCCTGGACATGTCTGTGAAGCAAAAGGCACCAGCTGGGATGGAGTGACAGTGTCCAATTCATTGTATGCATATTTATTTACTGAGGATACAATAAATTCACATGAAACATGATGGCCTTCCGTATCGTTTTTTACCAAAAATCACAGCAACAATCTGTAAACTGCTGCTTTCTGAGAAAATGCCTGTAATTCATAAAAGTACTCATTGGTTTCATTTGAAAGCAATGATAACTTTATTTGATGGAGATTTGGGGCAGGAAATAGAGCAATCGCTAATTTGCAAATATCTGTTCCAGTATAGTATTAGAAATCCAAGGTGCAGCATTCGTAGATTTTCCATTTAGATGCATCTCATGAAAATACATAACTATTTTGGAAACCTGGATTTGCCCCATATCTGAGAGTATGACATCATCAAAGTGCATTTATTTCCAGGGGCTAGGGAAATTGGAATATCAAATAGTATTGCAACTTTGGTCAAATCCTTCAATTATCATATTTTTTTTTATTTTAAGATCTGCTTTCTCATCACACATTAATCCCATTAGTCTATATATCTGAACAGCATGTCTTCTTTATGGCTGGTGCGTGCAAATCCCTGTCTTGTGTTAGGCCAGTGCTGAATAATGCAGACCCTCGTTCCCCCTTCACCAAAGTGGAGATCTCTGGTGCCACAGCCCTGCCTCCTTCACACCCATTATCTCGCTTGGGTGAGCAAGAGCAGCAGATGCATCAGGACACATGTAGAAAAGAAACCTCACAATATCCATTCCTACATTTTCCATTTGTCTCAATGTAACAAAAAGTATAAATTGCACCCACACCTCTAAACCTTGACACCATATTTTGCACCTAATGTCTGTTCACCCTGGTTGTGATAATCTCAGCCTTCTAGTCTTAAAACACTACCTCTTCAGATGAAAAAGATCTATCCTTTTTCGCCTTGTTACTTTTTTCCCATGAGCTGCCCCACCCACTCTCCTTCCCTCATCTTACAAAATGTATTTTTCCTCCAATCTCCATCTTTCGTTATCTCTCAGGGCATTTTCTGCTTCTTTGGAGAGTCACACCTAATGAATTATTTACTGATGTAACTCAGCGGGGAATTCTGCAGTATTTTTCTCATAATTCAAAGCTCAAAGTCAAGCGAGCGCTGCCCCTTTAAGATGTGCAGGTAACACACACACGCAGACACACATGGCTCAGTGGGTTTCCCTGGAAAAACAATAATATGCTCATTGTGAAGGCAAACTGATAATCACTGGGCTAGTTATGTCATAGTTATAAGAAGACTGTAAATTAACAGATGCATTAACATATCTATAAATAAATGCATCCACCCACCAGCACAATATCCAATAAAATAAAAATGATTTGTGCATAGGGTTTACCTTTTAATAAACCCTATCTTCCAATAGGTTTAGGATGGCACCATTTGTATTCAGTAACATAGAGTTCAGTTTTATATTTCTTAAAAAAAAGATTAAGATGATTAGTACATTGCCTTATAAAAGGTAATTCATGAAAATATGCAGTTTTAGTCTAATTCCAGCTCATGGCAAAGCCACATGATAAAGCCACACCCTGAAACTAAGCGACAGACAGAGAGAGAGAGAGAGAGAGAGAGAGAGAGAGAGAGAGAGAGAGAGAGAGAGAGAGAGAGAGAGAGAGAGAGAGAGAGAGAAAGACAAAGACAGAGACAGGGAGAGAGACAGCAAGAGGGAGACAGACAGAGAGAGTAAGAGAGAGAGAGAGAAGAGAGAGAGAGAGAGAGAGAGAGAGAGAGAGAGGGGAGAGAGAGACACACACATATTATATTTATGTGTTTTTATATTTTAGACAGTGAGTTTAGGCACCAAATACTCACTAGTCTTTAATCATAAACAGGGTAATAGAAAGCATAAATTTAAGACACCTGTCTAGCATATAGTTTTATATTTTGTGGTTATTTTCTTGTTTTGCACTGAAAAAGCATTTTAAAAGTATGGCGACTTGGAGAAACTGTCTGGCTTATGGAGTGATTATCATGTTAATTCTGATCAGTTTCTACTCTGATGCCAGGGCACGCACTGTGACTGTGCCCTGTGCTGCGAAACATTTATGGCTCTGCAGGCAGTGAACCCCACCCAAATCTCTCCTCTATCAAGACTAGAGTAAGGGCTGTACCAGTGTTATGCAATAAATGCAATATTTCATTGTAATACTCAGTTGACACCAGGACTGCGCAATTAATCAAACTTTAATATGAATTTTGTCATTTAATCTTCAATGATGAGTCTTTTTAAAATAAAGATGTACTGCCAATCCCCTGTCAGTACATACATGTGTAGCAGATAACATTTTGTATTGTTTATATTCATTCAACTATTGTTATGTGTTTTTAATACGACCAAATTAAACAAAACCCTTCCAAAATCAGTATATCATTTGTTTTAACATTCTCAGACCTCAATAAGCAAATAATAATAAGTGTATATATATATATATATATATATATATATATATATATATATATATATATATATATATATATATATATATATATATATATATATATATATATATATGTGTGTGTGTGTGTGTGTGTGTGTGTGTGTATTTATATTGCATAATAGCCCTTGACATATGGCTGAAAATGTAAGCAAGAGAGAGTACTGAGTTGTAATGTCTTCTGACAGTGCTCTCCAAATGAAAACGCATGTTGTGCTGACCAAAAAACAAGCAGAGTCAGTGTTTATTGTGCCCATCTCCTATAGTGTGTTCACAGGGTGAGAGGAGAAGGTGTGTCAACTCCTGAGGCAAAAATCAAACCTCAGCAGAATGTAAAGTGAACAGAGCTCAAACATGTGCAGCCTCTCAAGCATACGTCCTACCAGTTGCACATCAGATATTAGGGGGCACAGTAGTGTTTTGTCTAATTTTGTGAAACAAGGCTAGTATCAGTGCTGTGGTCAATATTTTCCAGGTCCAGAGAATGTTAGCAATGTTAGCCTTTCTGTCGTATTTGGTTACATTATACAGTATAATAAAAATGATTAACACAAATGCCATAGTGTAATTTTCAGCTATTTTGCTACTTGGATTCTGATGATGGTCCCCCAGAGCATTACGTAGCCCATAGGCAAAACGATTAAGGTTGAAGTGCCATCTCGTGGTACGAGCTGGTATAGCATTAGCAAGCAACAGGCAAAATCACCTCCAATGCAATAAACGACATAACTTGGATTTGATGAAGTTATATTTCCTTATCAGGCAGGAGTTTGGAGGCAAGTGTTTCATAAAGGAGAAGACAGAAAAACAAGTAAGATCAATAATAAGTATTTTATTAAAAGTATGTTATTTTGTATAATAACAAAACTAATATTAGGCAACGGACACGTAACGTTTAATTCCATTATAATTCCTAAATTTAAGATTTGTTTTACAGCCAAAAGAGGTGGGGCTCTGAGATGCGCTACCGTAGTATCGTCCAATCAGCTGCGCGAATCTTACACAATCGGCATTCCTTTTTGTTCTTTCGCACATGCGCAATTCATTTTTAAAATGGCGGCCGTACAAGGTAGTCTGGTGGATTCAGAGGAAGAGAAGGACATTAAAACAGATCCATCCAGTGATGTATGTGGAAGTAGCAATAATATAAACGACGCGAAACCCGTCTCTAACACGCCCGGGACTAATGCTCCTTCTGGATCCACCAAACCCTCCGTAGGGACAGCGGAGGAGCAGCAAACCCTGCTTGCAGTTCTGCAATTCCTCAGAAAGAACAACTTGAGCGAGTCCGTCGAGATTTTACGCCGTGAAGCTGGTTTACCTGAAGATCTACTGGACCTTAAAGATGCTGATGGTTCTGGGGCCGGCTCTGGTGGAACGGCAGCCGGAGTGGGTCTTGAAGGAGGGGATGCGAGCTCTCTGCTCAGTCGGGTGACCGTGGCTGCGTCCGGAGTCCAGGCGCCAACAAAAGGTCCGAAACCTTAGCCTCTTCCACTCTAGGGACTTAGGCTTTAATCTATCGAAGCACGCGGCATTAGTTATTATTATATAAGCATGAAAGCATTTTCATAGTATTTAAACAATTTGCAACACTAATTTATTATTTGAATGTATACATTTGTAATAATGCATTTACTAACGCAGGCTATAACCTTAATACAAGTATTAAATAGTTATTTATATACGTCTATTTGTATTCTATTTCCCCCATTTTCTTTAGCTACAAGTGATGATCAGCCTGATGTGAGTGTTGTCCTATCAGCCTACAGCCAGCAAGGAGACCCAACTTTATATGAGGTTTACTACAGTGACCTTAAAAAGTTTATAGAAACGGTTTTGGACTGTCACCGAGCAGAGCTATCCCAAGTCTTTTACCCACTATTTGTCCATATGTATCTGGAGCTGGTGTACAACAGTCATGAAAACGAGGCCAAGTCGTTTTTTCAAAGGTACGATTAACAAATTTTTGAGTATATTCAAAATAAAACATGTAATAATTTTAATGTGTTATTTTATTTTTGTGTTTCAGGTTTAGCGGAGATCAGGAGTGTTATTATGAAAATGACCTCAGGGTTTTGTCCAGTCTGACCAAAAGAGAGCACATGAAGGGCAATGAGACTCTACTAGACTTTCGCACCAGCAAATTTGTCCTGCGCATTTCCCGCGACTCATATCAGCTTTTAAAAAGACACTTGCAGGAACGACAGAATAACCAAATCTGGAATATCATCCAGGAGCATCTTTACATTGATATTTTTGATGGCATGCCACGAAGCAAAAGTCAAATTGATGCTATGTCCGGCAGCTTGGCTGGTGAGGCAAAACGAGATGCCAATAAATCCAAGGTAAAATATATATCCAGATTTTTTTATACTCTGAATTAATTTGACTCAAGTTAGTCATATTTTGATTCAAATGCAACAGGTATATTATGGACTACTGAAGGAACCAGAAATTGAACTACCTCTCGATGATGAAGATGAGGAGGCCGAAAACGAAGAGGGGAAACCCAAGAAAAAGAAACCTAAGAAGGATAGTTTGGGGTCCAAGAGCAAAAAGCAGGACCCAAACGCACCCACACAAACAAGGTGAAACAGTGTTATTATATTATCATTATTTTTTATATATTGATGCGCTTCATGATTCTATGAATGAATACTGCTGCTTTAGAGCGAATGTGTTATGATGCCACCTGCTGCCCTTTTCACAGTTAACAATTTTGTGTTTTATTGTTTAGAGTACTACAGTTGCTGACTATTGTTTCTGTTTTTTCAGAATACCTTTACCAGAGCTCAAGGACTCAGACAAATTAGACAAGATCATGTATATGAAAGAGTCCACTAAAAGAATTCGCCTCGGACCAGAAACACTTCCTTCCATTTGTTTTTATTCATTTCTTAATGCATATCAGGTAATGACATGAAAATCATAAGACCAAAAACTTCCAAAACTAAAAACTTTGTAATGTACAATTTCTTGGTTTATTCCCATAGGGTCTGACTGCAGTAGACTTCACAGATGACTCCAGTTTAATCGCGGGTGGCTTTGCTGACTCTACAGTACGTGTGTGGAGTGTCACACCAAAGAAGCTTCGCAAGGTCAAGTCTGCAGCAGGTACGTTTACTCCTACACTTACACAGTAGCTCTAAGCACCTATCCTATTGTTTGAACAAACATTCAAAAACAGATATTTTTATCATTAGAGTTAAACCTCATTGACAAGGAGTCAGATGATGTGCTAGAGAGGATCATGGATGAAAAAACTGCCAGTGAGTCAAAGATCCTCTATGGGCACAGTGGCCCAGTATATGGAATCAGCTTCAGTCCAGACAGGTACAAACACACCGAAGTTTCACACCTACATCACTGGCCACAGTGCCCAGAGTTCTTTTTAAACAGTAACCTTGTTATAAATATTTCAGAAATTATCTTTTGTCAAGTTCTGAGGATGGTACTATCAGACTGTGGAGTCTTCTAACATTTACATGTCTGGTGGGCTACAAAGGCCATAACTACCCTGTGTGGGACACTCAGTTTTCCCCTCATGGGTATTACTTTATCTCTGGAGGACATGACAGAGTAGCTCGGCAAGTACTCTTGAAATATTTTGGGTTTATAATACTGTTTGACCTTAAATAGTAATGTGTCTGTTTACTTGCAGTTTGTGGGCAACTGACCACTACCAACCCTTGAGGATATTTGCTGGTCACTTGGCAGATGTCACATGCACACGCTTCCACCCAAACTCGAATTATGCGGCCACAGGGTCATCTGATCGCACAATTCGTCTTTGGGATGTGCTGAATGGAAACTGTGTTCGAATATTTACTGGACACAAGGTGAGAGACCCTTAATTAATGTAATTAATAATGGCATAATCTGTAGTTTAGTGTACCCACAAATTCACAAGTCAGTTTTCTATTTTTCAGGGACCTATACATGCACTAGCTTTCTCTCCCAATGGGAAGTTTCTGGCTTCGGGAGCAACAGATGGTCGAGTTCTTCTTTGGGACATTGGACATGGAATAATGGTGGGAGAGTTAAAAGGCCATACTGACACCATATATTCTCTAAGATTTAGCCGGGATGGAGAGATCCTTGCATCAGGTGAGTGTTTTCTTTCCATCACTGGAGGTGAATGAAATGTCAATACACCTTTAATGCCCAATGTTTGTGTTTAGGATCGATGGATTATACGGTTCGCCTCTGGGACTCAATGAAAGCGTTTGATGACCTAGAGACAGATGACTTTACAGCTACAACAGGACACATCCATCTGCAAGATAATTCCCAAGAACTCTTGCTTGGCACATACACGACCAAATCAACACCAGTAATTCACCTTCACTTCACAAGAAGAAATCTGTTGCTTGCTGCAGGAGCCTATAATCCTTAAAATGCGTTAAAAAGCCTGAAAATAAGCAGCTATTACCCAATATGTGGTGCCCAGACATTTAAGCTGTATAATCAAATATGAGAACTTGACTAATGTGAAAAGATGGCCAGACTGTTGTAGGTTTTAAGTGCCATGATAAGGAATATTCTTAAAATATATACTGCCATGAGTACAACTAACAAGACTAATGTTTTATACAAAAAAGTACTGTAAATAAAAGGTGTTTTCTATGTTTTGGCATAAATGTTCTTTATTAACAACAAAACCATACAGTGAGAGTTTGTTACAAGCACGGCCAGCTGCTTTCTCAATGACTAGAACTGATCACACAGGTACCTGTGAAAGGATTACAAAAAAAAAAGGATTAGAACAGGAATAGAACACTTGAAACAAAGTCCTTATGTCTGCAATAATGTCACCTTCATACTACTTTTCTGCAATTGCCTTCTTCTTGGGCTTCAGTTTGAAAAAGAGGCCAATTCCTAAAAGTGTAGCATATGTTGCCAACACACACTGAGGAAAAAAAGAACATTGTGTACAATTTTATGTTGATGAGTACTTGATGAATGAAGATATTAGTGCAGAACAAAACTTACATTCCTCCTTCCAATATAAGTGTATGAATTGAAGTGCCTTGCAATCCCAGTAAACTGATGGCTTCCTGCATCGTGCCCTCCCATAATTGGTTCTAGTAATAACAAGAGTTTGAACGTATGAGTGAAATAACAATTTATAACAATTAAAAAAAAAAGTTACAGTTTGTTACAATTATCAGCTTTCACGTATTATGATAAGGAAATGTGATATTTTACATTTGGGTTTTATTAAACCTGTGAGGAGCTCTGTCAGATTCACCTCTAAGCTGTGGAGACACTGGCGGTCTTGTCTGTATACGTTATAACATGCACTGTATGTATCTTTTTATTCTTACTATTGTTTTTTTAATACTATGAACCAGATAACATGTGTTCTTAATAAAGATTGAATTGAATTGAATTTGTAGGAACCCAATGTACAAGTTTAGCAAACACGTTAGCTCATTACATCGATGTTAGCGAAGCTTTTGTCAGTCCATTTGATAAACACCACGCTATTCTCCACAAATAACAAGCATAACTTGCTTGAAGATTTCTTTTTATTAAAGATAATAAAATACCAATGCATGTGCAAAATCTTACCTTAACCACACGACCCCGGAGTAAAGCGAACAAGACAGTGCCCTTCAACAGAGGCCGCAGTGCTCAAGTAAAACAGGAAGTGCCGCCTACCGAAAAAGCCACTAAAGACTGCCGCTATTGGTCCAAATGTTTGTCAATCACAAAAGCACGCCTATTTACCGAGCAACCACAATTTCAATTGGTTTTTGAAATGTCAATATTTTTTTACTTGCTCGTGATTGGAAGATTATTCAATCTCCCCGCTCGAGTTTTCTTTCCGGAATCATGGCGTGTTCCTAAAACATGTGAGTGGGATATCCACATCTCAGAGATTAAGATAATTTCTATTTTCCTTTTCGATTTACCTTTACAAAATTTATGGCATCAATGGAGGAGGACTTCCCTCGTGGGGGAACAGTAAAAAAACCCTCAGAAAGCCAAATTGTGGTTCAAAGAGCAGAAGTAGACAATCTCTTTCAGGTAAGCGGTACAAACTTTCACAGACACAAAATGTTTATTGTTTAATCTCTGTGGATAAGCAGTGATCACTGATCACTAGCATGCTTATAAGTATAGCACTAATTTACTATCCTTCTGCAGTCAAGTGAACGCACAGAAACTAAAAAAAGGAAAGGGGCTGGCAAAGACGATGGCAAAAAGGTTAAGAAGACGAAAACTGGTAAAGGGCTATAGATTTTAAAGTTCTTTTATTGGTTTATAAAGCTCTTAATGGTCTTAGTCCTATGATCTGCTTTTATCATACGAGCCCTCTCGGACTCTCAGGTCCTCAGGTAGTCATCTTTTAACTGTCCCAAGAGTTCAAACTAAAACCCACGGTGAGGCGAATTTGGCTTTTATGGCCCCGTTTGTGGAAAGGTCTACCTGAGGATCTGAGGTCCCATGCGAGTCTTCATATTTTTAAAAGTAAACTTAAAACACATCTTTTTAATTTAGCTTTTAACTGAAACTTTTACCTGTTTTAACTTAAATTGTCATTATTATTATTGTTAATATTATAGTTGTTTTAAATGAAATTATCATTACTATTTTACTTAGTCTCCATCTGATCTTAGCTGTACATTTTCATTTTTACTATAACTTTTAAGAGCTTTATGTTTGGGGGGGGGGGTGTTAATTAATGTATTGAAAATTTTCTGTTGCATGTGAAGCACTTTGTGCTACATTTCAAATGTATGAAAAGTGCTATACAAATAAAGTTTGATTGATTGATTGAAGGGCAAGAAGATGCTTTAATGCTCAATGCTGCTGGCAACATTGTGGAGATACTGCATGTCAAGGTAAGATAAGTCTTTTATTTTGGAGTTACTAATGGAGTTGCATCTCTTTAATGTCCAACTATATGTTTTTGACTATTTCAGAATGTGAAGGAGGGCATGTTATTACTGGGTTGTGTGAAAGAGGTAACAGACTTTGAAGTAACAGTCAGTTTGACTGGTGGGCTTCAAGGTTTTCTCAGTATTAAAAACATAAGTGATTCATACACCAAGTTACTCACAGAACACCTCAACTCAGATGAAGTGGAAACAGAGGTAAAATTACATGTCTATATTTACGTGTTTCATTTGTTACTTTACATATAGCTAAAACTGATTTGTTTTTTTATCAATAGGAGTTTTTCTCTTTGCCTCATCTCTTCATCCCCGGCATGGTTATCAGATGCGTTGTAGCCAAAATAGACTTAACTAAAGGGGGATCACTTAGCATTCAGCTTTCTGTCAATCCCAAAATGGTGAACAAGTCACTCTCCTCAAATTCAGTAAAAACTGGCATGGTAAGTTAAAAATGACCTCTTACAATTGTGTAAAAAGTTACATATTTTGAATTTCATGTACAGATTTTGAGTGGATGTGTAGAGAGCATAGAGGACCACGGATATATTATTGACATCGGCGTCTCTGGCAGTAAAGCTTTCCTACCTAAGAATGCAGTAAAAGACAAAAACAACTGTCCTGAAGGTTTGGCCTGAAAAAAATCAATTTTTAAAACTACAGTATATTAGTGGACTGCTTTTTAGAAAATCATATGTACTGTGTTTGACTTGTACACAGATTTACATGTGGGCCAGTATGTGACTTCACTAGTGGAGAAAGTCAAAAATGATGGCCGCGTTGTGCAGCTTTCTGTCAGCCCTAAGAACATTGCTCAGGCATTTGCTGACGATGACCAGGGCTGGACACTCACAAACATACTTCCTGGTCTTCTGGTCAAAGCAACCATTACAAAGGTAAAAGGATATACTGTGTGCAGAATGCTTAACCTTGTCTGATCTGGAAGCTAAGCATGATTAGGCCTGGTTATTACTGGGATGGGACACTGCTGGGAATGCCTAGCATTAGTGGGACAGCAGTGGCTCTAATGAATACTTTTATGTATTCATTAGAATACATAAAAGTATTAAGTAAGATATGTCACCCACCCTGCCTATGTATGTATGTATATATGTATGTGGTGTGTGTACATCATTGATTTGTGGTCATCATGGGGGTTGATGGTGCAAATTGGCAGCCTCAGTTCTGTCCGTCTACTCCAGGGCAACTGACTACATTTGTAGCTTCCCACCTCCCGAGTAATATGGAAAGAATGAATAATGCAAAAAGCAAACATGTGTATGCATGTATTTGTAATTTGCTGTAATAATGATAGTGAATTTTATTTTCAGGTCACCAAACATGGACTATTTCTGAAGTTTCTCTCTAACTTTAGTGGTCAGGTAGACTTTCTCCACGTGGAGCCAGGAAAAGCATCAAGCTACAAGGAAGGAGATGAGGTGGTGTACAGAAAATTACAATATTATCATTATTATTCACACAAAAATAATGCGTTTGTTTGGGGATTTAGGTGCGCGCCTGTGTTTTGTATGTGGATCCAACCACACGTTTGGTAGGGTTGAGCCTTCGTAACTACCTTGTTTTACCTGGGACCCGGGTGGACACAGCCCATTCTGGGGGTATACAGGTTGGTCAAGTTGTGAAGAACTGCAAGATGACAGCTCTACATCACGCATCAGGAGGCATATTAGAGTTGCCAGACAAAATGCAAGCATTTGTCCATGTAAGTCAAGACAGAAATTTGACAGAACTTTGACAAAAATTACATAAAATCTGTGAATTTTGTATAATCATTCATACAATAGAAAAACCACATGAAAGAATATAGTGCTCCAGCGAATGAGAACAGAACTCTGGCCAAGGCTGAACACACTTGTAGGATCCTGGATTTCTGCCTAATAGACCAGATTTATTGTGCCTCTTTACGCAAGTATGCGTTTCTTTTTAGTAACTTATTTAAATAATGTATTCCACCAGGTCTATTGACTTTTCTTTTATTTGAGCCTTTTTAGGAGTGTAATAGAGAAGCCATTTTTTAGATATCATGACATTCATTCCGGTCAAATAGTAGAGGTGAGAAATCTAAAGAGTTTCTTTTTCTGGTTTCACATGTAATTTTAAGGCATATTTAACATTTATTAACTTTTGTTTCCAGGGGACAGTGTCACTGCTGTTTGACTATGGAATGATTGTCCATCTTTCGGACCATATTAAAGGCCTGGTGCCACGGACCCATCTGTCGGACATTGTGCTGAAAAACCCAGAGAAGAAGTACATGGAAGGCATGAAAGTTAAATGTCGAGTTAGTGCAGTTTGGTACTAAACATATGGGTCTTATCGTGTTGATCGTACAGATTTCTATATAATCTGTTACTCTTTATTTTAGGTATTATCTGTAGATGCAGAAAACAAGAAACTGTCTCTGACAAGAAAAAAGGCTCTGATTGAAAGCTCCTTGCCTCTTTTTCTGAGCTTTGCTGATGCCCGCCCAGGACGTGTGTCTCATGGCTATATCGTGTGTGTCAAAAAATTTGGCTGCATTGTTCGTTTCTACAACAATGTTAAAGGACTTGTGCCATTAAATGAGCTCAGCTCTGAAGCCATTGTCAGCCCTGAGGAGGTCTTCTATGTTGGACAGGTGTGGACCCCCATGTGGCACTGAGACACTGAAGTATTGCATTTCTCATGTAACACTTGTTTTTTTTCTTCAGGTTTTAAAGACCAAAGTTCTTCAGTGTGATGTTGTAAAAGAGAAATTGTTGCTCTCATTTAAAGCTGCAGTGGAGGGAAATGTTGAAGAACCTCTCAAATCTGACTATGAATGTGATGTTGGAAAGGTAAAAGTGTAAAATTATGAATACAGTATATGCTTCATACCCAAAATTCAATACTTTACCATTCACTTTCAACTAATTACATTTGAATTACCGTCTGTTGTATGTCTTCCAGAAAGTGGATGTTCGGGTGCTGAAGAAACTTGTCAGTGGTCTTGAAGTTGCCATTTTGCCTGAGGAAATTCCTGCTGTGCTGCCCACAATGCACCTCACTGATCACTTGTCCAATGGCCCTTTGCTGTGGGAGAGTCTGCAGGAGGGAGACACCATCTCCAACCTTGTTTGTTTCTACAAGAACAAACAGAATATTGTATCCTTAATTTACTGTACTTACTACTACTAGCTTATCTTTTATAGTTTGCCTTTACTTTAAGGTTAATTTTATTTTCCTCAGCACATCTTTTTAGACTCTAACCAAGAAACCAACTATAATATGGGCTATAGAAGAGGGAATTTTGGCCAAAGATTTCTCAGAGATAACTGTGGGACTGCAGTTATATGGCTGGATCAAGAACATTATGGCCTATGGCGTCTTTGTTGAGTTCCCATACGGCCTTGTTGGTCTTTCCCCAAAATCTGTAAGTCCAGCAACATGTTTGTGTTATTCACATCACACAGGAGTTTCACATTATATCTATTTGCTTCACTTTCAAGGCCATGACCGATAAATTTATTGCGGATGCAACCACAGCCTTTGAGCTCGGCCAGACCGTGATTGCCAAAGTGACAAACATAGACGAGGAAAAGCGACGTTTTTTGGTCACGCTGAAGATATCTGAGGTCATCTCACCTGTGGGAGACCAACAGACCAGACTGACCAATGGTCTGCAGGAGAGATGGGCTGTGACTGAAATGTTGTCCATGAGAGGTAAAGATTTTAACACAAAAATGTCAGTTTAAATTAAAGTCTGAAAATCTATATATATTTACTTAATATACTTTTTTGATATTGTCTCAATCATTTAGAAAATGCCGATCTACGAAATCAGTTGTCAAACCTAAGCATTGGACAAAAAGTGAAGCTGACTGTGGATTCTGTGGTGGACACCCATGCTATCTTTAAATCAGATGAGCTAATCGGTGCTACAATAATCGCCACCAAGAACCATTTTATTGGTATGGAGTAGATTGTAGTTAATTTACTAAAAATCTTTTTATGGTCTAAGAATAATTTGCATTATTTTTTATCAGGTCTCAAGTTATCACCTGGACAAAAAGTGACTGCTGTTATACTTTTTGTGGATATCTTATCTGCTACTGTCCAGGTCTCCATCCTCTCTAGGCTATTATCAAAGAAGAAATCTGTGAGTTGATTTACATTTCATATACATACATATACATATCAAAATCGCTGCAATCCATACAATGGTTTTATAAATGTTCATCTTTTTTAACAGTTAACTGAAGGTTCAAAATATCAAGCAATGGTGCAGTTTGTTGAGAAAGACTTTGCTGTCATCTCTTTGGGGGATACAGCACAATTGGCGATCATACAAACTCACAGCCATTTAAATGAAGTCACGCTCCATGATTCAGAACGGCTGAAACCTGGAATGACTTTTCATGTGGAAGTGATCGATCCTGCTTGTGAGGCACTGCAAGGGCTCCCCCTAGTGTCTTGGGAGCGTAATCCAGTGAAGCGCCAGCGCACAACCTCTGAAACACAAGGAGCAAAGGGGAACTGTTTTGGAGATATTGTGCGTGGTACAGTGCGTTCAGTGAAGCCCACGTGTATTCAGCTCACTCTGGAGAATGGAGTTGTGGGCAATGTGCATGTGTCTGAAGTGATGGAGCAGGACAAGATTGGACGGGGGTCTTTCCCTGCATCCTCCATTAAAGTAGGCAGTAAGGTCACTGCCAGAGTTATAGGAGGAAGAGAGGTCACAAGTCATAGGTATGTATCAATGTACATTTTAGACTAAATAAACTAAATAAAATATATTTGACACATATAGTATACATAGTATTTCATCTCTTCATGTGTTTGTCAGATTTCTGCCCTTTTCACATCCAAAGTTCAAATTCAATTGCCCTGAGCTTACTCTGATTCCAAGGTAGGCTTATAATTTAACCTAATGTTTTAGATATGACAAAGAGTGCATCTGAATTTACATTTTTTTCCATCATACAGCAAACTTGAAGCCAGTGATTTCAAACCAGTCATAACCAAGGAAAAACTTGGCAGCTATACTGTTGGGGAAGAGATCACATGCTTTGTATCAAAGGTGAGTTGACCACTGCTTTATTTTACTTTTTAACAACGGTGTGCTGTTACTTGTAAGAGATGTATTTGTAAAATGTATTTTTACATATTTTCTCTAGTATCATCCAGATAAGAAGTCACTGGAAATTACCACAGATCCTAATATCACTGGAACTGTTGAACTTCTTGCCATGATCACTGACCCGAAGGTACAGTAGGTGAATAGCCAAATGCATCTGATGCCGTTGAATTAAAAGGGAGTATAACACAGACTTTAATTTTTAGGAAGCTGGTCACCCAGAGAAACTGTACAAGCTTGGCCAAGCTATACGAGCTAAGGTTATAGATGTGAGCTCCAAACCACAGCGATTTGTATTGTCACTCACAGGTAGGATGAGCTCTTTATCCCCACTCTGAAATGGTGAAATTATTATTTTACCAGTTTGCCTTTGTTTACAGGAACACATAAACTTGAGAAGGACAGTGTTTGTGTGGGAGTGGTGAAAAATGTGCAGCCGCATGGTCTACAGGTCAGACTTCCTTTTGGAGGCTCAGGAACAGTGTCTGTTACTGATCTCTCAGACGCCTACAAACCTAATGCTCTTGATGCCTACAGCAAAGACCAGCTCATCAAGTCAGTGAATGATGTGCATTATAACTTAATTATACTCTGTAATTATACATTGTATAAAACTAAATTACATTTTCAAACTTCCATGTAAGGTGTTACCTTCTGGAATGTGAAAATGGCAAATGGCATTTGTCTTTACGTCAGTCAAGGTTGGAAAACACAAACCATAAATCGAATGTTGAAAAATTGGGTAGATGAATATTATTTTATATTTCCTTTTTCAGAATAAATCCAGGACAGGCAAAAGCTGTGAAGGACACAGAGGTCTTATCTTTGGACAGCTTGAAATGTGGACAGATCATTAGGGGCTATGTCAAGGCCGTTATTGAACAGGGGATTTTCATCCGGTAAGCTCTAAAAAAAAGTGTATACATTTTTTTTTTTTTTGTAGTTTCACTTGAAAACACATATCTTATATTTGTGTGTTGATGGTTTTACTGTTAACCTTCTTCATTATCATGTCTAGGTTGTCCAGAGGAATTACAGGAAGAGCAGAAATTCAAAAGTCCACTAAGTACTTTATCTCCAGCCACAAGATTCTTGCAGATCATCTGCCTCCAAACACGCTTCTCACAACCAAAATTATTCGGTAAAAAGGAAAAGATATTGAGATTATTTTAAGTGCTATTTTAAGTATTTAGGTGCCCAATGGGAACTGATGTTGTCATAAACAGCATCACAAGAAAGAGCTGTGCAACTGTTGACATCTCCAAAGAATAGTTGCACAAAACCAGTTTTTTCTGTTTGTACCAAAACTGTGCGACATTCCCAAATTCTATGTGTAACACATACGACCGATTAAGAAAATTAAATAGGAGACTGACATGAGTAGAGACCGATGGGTATATGGCAGCGACTGTGAAAACAGGGTTGATCGACAATACAACTGGTCATTGCACAATATTTTTGTTATTAAGAATCAGAATATTTGATTTGAACAAGTTTACCTTCTAAGGTCCAGAAATCAAATTATTATCTGGTTTCGGTGTGCATGTGAACAAGACCACTGTTTAATACTCAGGTGCATCTTTTTGCAGTAGCTCTTATATCAGTTGTAATTTTTCCTCTTGTGTTTTACTGAAGATTTGTTCTGATGTAAAGAGATCAATGCTGTCCTTATGTGTTTTTCTGCACTTACTCTGCAGCTGTGCCTTCTCTTATCTGCAGCATCGACCAAAAGGAGGAGTTAGTCGACCTCTCTTTGCTCCCAGTGGACACCGGGAAGCCAGATGTCCTTCCCGAATCTCTGGGTCTGCCACTGCGGCTTGTGGGAGAGGAGAAGGAGAAACATGATACGAAGAGAAAACGTAAACTGCCCGAGATGCCGCAGGTAAAACACTTAACTGGAATTCTTTGTACTTTCCAGTAGCATTCACATTTATTGTTTTTTTTCTGACTCATATCATATTTAAGGTAAATCCAGCACTGTGGGTAGTAATAATAAGCTGCTGATATTAAAACTGAAATATGCACCTTTTTTGTACAAAATAATCAGTGCACCATGTTTACCTCTATCCCCCCTTCATATTCCCTTGTTGTAGAAAGAGGTTCTAACTAAAAAGAAAAAGTCCAAGAAGACAAAGGTGGATGACAGTGACAGTGGTGTGGAGGTGTATTTCAGAGAGGAGGAAAATGAAGAAAAGAACAAACCTGCTCCTGTGAATGTAAATGTTATTCACAACAAAATGTGCAATAGTAGAGAAATTAAATGATATATTTTTATGATTACTATTTTCTTTTCTGGTTTAGCAGGCCAAATCTTCTGCTGGACAGGCCAGATTACAAGTAACAGGGGGATTTTCTTGGGATATCGGCCTTAGCTCCCTGAAACCAATCTCTGTGACTCATGATGGGGATTCCAGTGATGGAGAAGACCAAGAAACTAGCATCAGAGTAAGATAATTTTAAAGACTGTCTTAAAGACATGTTTTTATATCTATATATACATGCTTTCTAAATGAATATAATCTTTAGCCGCAGAAAAAAACACGGCATGAGCTGGAGCAGGAGAAGAAAGAATCTGAGAAGGCCTTGATGAAGCGAGAGCTAGAGCTCATGGACCCAAACCTGAGGCCTGAAGACGACGCTGCATTTGAGCGTTTGTTGTTGGCTTCACCAAACAGCTCTCTGCTTTGGCTGCAGTACATGGCCCACCATCTACAGGCCACACAGATTGAACAGGCCCGCGCTGTGGCCGAGAGGGCTCTCAAAACAATCTCATTCAGGTATACTATATATACAGAGAAACATGCAGAGTTACTCTTTGGCATTTTGTCCCACTGTACTTGGAATGCAGATATTTATCTGTACATGAACAGTAAGTTTCCCTTACACAGGAACATGTGGACTTTTGGTACATGTTAAAGCCATTTCAGAAGACATGATTAAGCATAATCGTATTGTACTAAATGTCATAATGTGGCTGGATTGTTGAAATTAACTTAACAAATGAATTATGATCATTTTTGAATGGCTGTACTGACTGTATACATTTTCAGGGAGGAGCAGGAAAAGCTGAATGTGTGGGTGGCCCTACTTAATCTAGAGAACATGTATGGCACAGAGGAAAGCCTGAAGAAAGTCTTTGAGCGAGCGCTGCAGTTCTGTGAGCCCATGCCTGTTTACCAGCAGCTAGCAGACCTCTATGCAAAATCTGACAAGACAAAGGTCCACTCTGCAATTATTGTTATTTAATGTTCAGTGAGATGATGTTCAGTAGTCTGTAATAGTACGTTGTTTGTGTCCAGGAGGCTGAGGCTCTCTATAAAAGTATGGTTAAAAAGTTTCGACAGAACAAAACTGTGTGGCTGAGCTATGGGACTTTTTTGCTTCAACAAGGACAGAGTGATGCTGCCAGTGCTCTCCTACAGAGGGCACTCAAAAGTCTGCCTTCCAAAGACAGTAAGCCTTATGTCTTATTCTTGCCTAATTTTCTTGAATGTGTTTAATGCATTATTTTTACATTGGATAAACAAATTACCTGCTTAGACAGTTCAATGACGTTGATGTATGTAACTCTGTAAACTTGTTGCCCCTTTGTTTCAGGTGTGGATGTGATTGCTAAGTTTGCTCAGCTGGAGTTTCGTTACGGTGACATAGAAAAAGGTCGCACCATGTTTGACAAAGTGCTGACCAGTTACCCGAAACGCACTGACCTCTGGTCTGTGTTCATCGATCTTATGGTCAAACATGGATCCCAGAAGGAAGTCAGGTCAGCTAACAATATTTTTGTTCATCTTGTAATGGACTGAAACTAACAAGAAACTAAATCATAAATAACAATAAATATTTTGTGTCTGACTCCTAGGGCACTGTTTGACCGTGTAATCCACCTGAGTGTTTCTGTGAAGAAAATTAAGTTCTTCTTCAAGCGCTATTTAGAATATGAGAAGAAACATGGCACCCCTCAGAGCATCCAGAAAGTCAAAGAAAAAGCCATGGAGTTTGTGGAATCCAAAGGGACAGAAGCATCCAGCTGAAGACTCTTCATGTAGGACTGTATACAGTATACTGATTACAGTCTAGCAAGAACTACACAAAGTGATACATTTGACCATCTTAACAAACACAACTGCAAACATCGACAAATACTTAATTTTTAAAGAACTTCAATGAAAAAAATCATTGTATAACCTGACTGATAAACTGTCTTGTAAATAAACCAAACACAATTACAATACAATACGTAACATTTTATTTAAAAGCAACAAATACAAAATAACAATATAGGGACACGTTTACGTACAATACATACAGGCAAGACTAGGTTTGCTATCAGTCTTTTTAAGGAAAGGGCCTGGGACACAATCTGTAACATTACGGTTGGGTTTTACTAGTTGTGATCCCGCTGGTCTTGGATTGGGTCAGTTCGGAGGCTATGGCCGACTCTGATTGCATGATTGTTGCACCTACATTGGCAGTACTGAATATGTGGCACAGCGTTAAAGAGTGAAGGACATGGTTGTGCTGGCTGTTTATTGGTAACACTCCTGAGATATTAGAGGTATCCGTACTGTCTCTGAAATTAGAGTGTCCTAACCCCTGGCAATTCTGTCCTAATCGTCCCATGACTAGCAATGTTTCTCCTGCTTTTTCTAAATGTGGCTCCTTTCCTTTTTGTTTTTATATTGGTGAACAGTGCAACATGGAAGTAGAACTAGGAGCATTTTGTCATGAAAACATCCTATTTATCTACCCACTCACTGACCGCATCGTTTTGTCTCAATTCCACAGTATAGGCATATTGCTCAAGGTCGGTAGCAAACTGGCCGCAGGATCATTATCAATAATTCCTGTCTTTAAATAGACCATGGTTCTTCATTGACTGTAGTGTTTTGAATGTGTGTATATTATCCACAGAGGAGGGCAGTGGTGCGCCATCTACAGTCCAGTTCACACCTCCTCAGGGTCCAATGGGCCCTCAGCACCCTGCGGAGCGTCCGTGTGCAGCCGCATTATGGGCTTGTTACACATGGGGCACACACTGCGGATCTCCAGCCATTTAAGGAGGCACCTGCAGATACAAAAAGTTTTGTTCGTTAGACCCTGTTTACTAGTCAGAATACAGCTGTGCAATTAATCTAATGTATTCATTAAGATCGGGATTCAGTCATATCTGATTGTCAATTATGAGCTTGGGTCTTTTTTATAATCCTCAGTAAAGGCACTGGGGCTGGAGCAGAGGACAGACTTTTTTGTTCATGGCAATCATTAAAGGCCTGTATTGTTTAGGTATCATAAATAAATATTCTGTCATATTTAAAATTTAATTAAATTGAAAATTGAAGACATTGATCTATTAAATAGCAAAGCTATATACATTATAGATTTACTTTAAAAGGAGGAAATAAAACACAATTTTGTATCTTGTATTGAAAGCTGTATTCCCAAACAAACAGTGGCTCTTGGGTCATTCAGTACTCACTTCTTGTGAAATGCATGTGAGCACGGGCACACTCCAAGTTCATCTCTGGTTCTAAACTCCTCCAGACACACTGCACAGGTTTGCTGGAAGAAAAAAAAAGTTTACTATCAGAAATCTAATCACAAATTACAAAATATACAAGTTCAATAACCATATTATGCATCCAGTTTATACAAAAATGTACACTGACACAGTATGCAACTATCATACAGATGAAAAATAGGCCCAAATATTTTCCCTCCCATATTCAATGTGCACCACTTTCACTAACTTAAATAAAATATAGTAGCAATGTGAGTGACTTACTCCAAGAAGGCTCAGTTTCTTACTGGCTCCTTTAAGCACCACCTGGAGAAGATACAGGAAACAATAAGGAGTGAGTTCAATGGGAGGTCATGTAAATGATGATGAACAATATTGTCTTTGAAAGAAATTTATAGTGCATGGTGAAACACATGAAAAGCAGTTGGTGCCCTCAAGTGAAATTAGCAGTGTCAGTTTGTGGTTTCCTTTTTAGGCCCGAGCGCCAGAGGCTGGCGAAGGGCCTATTAGTATCGCAAAGCGATGCTCCAAGTGGCCGAAAAATGGAACGGCGAGACGTGACTCGCCCGTAGTGACCAGGGACCCTCGCCATGACGTAGCAATGCGCCAGAGGTTTCCGAAAATGTATAGTTTGCCGGCCAAAAAAAGCCGAACATTGTTCTCGCATCAGAATATTATTCTTTCTTTCTTCTTATTTTTCTCCTAACCAACTCACCCATTTTTCACCCACTGAACAATGACGAAAAGTCCTGGAAATTTTTCCATCTGGTAAAACTCGCGCTTCCCTACGTTTTGGCTATTTCCATTTTCCAAACATAAATAAAATGGCTCGTCAGCGCCCCCAAACGACTCAAAAATGCATTAGGGAATACAAATGAGGGCAAAAAAAATTTGCATGTACAGTCATGAAATTTGACACAGAAGTCGATCATGTCAAGACAAGGAAAAAATATTATTACACCAACACTATGTGCTCCACTAGGGGGCAGCAATATTGGCTTAAAATTTGCTAAGCTTTCACGAACTCCTCCGAGGGCGTTCACCCGAACAAGTTGAAATTTGGTCCACATTATCTCAAGACGTGGAACATCAAAACTTATCCAAATTTTTCACACACGTCTTACGGTCTCTGAGCAGTGAAGCAACA